GCTCGTTGTAGATTTTATATAGCTGGTGACAAAATATCTATATTGCGCTTGATGAAAGTACAGCTCTCAGTTTATGTTACTCATTGTGTTTTAATAATTTCGCATTTTTATTTACCCACGCCCCGACTCACATATGATTAAAAACAATGCGCACACACAGACGATGTCAACGTAATGGCAATAAAAGTAAAATTTACCATTTGCTTGTTGCTTGTCGTCCCCAACTCGGTGCCTTTTCCTCAATCCGTTATATGTTGTAGGTAATAATAACATAAAATAATTTATGGTACATGAAAGTCACAAAAATGCCGGCCTGGCTACCACTCTCACTGCCAAGCCATACCACCCCCCTGCTCACACTCATTGGCCTAGCCTCAACGGCGCAGATGCCAACGGCAGAAGTTGTGAACTCGTTTCAGTTGGCTCTTTACAATTTTGTAGCATGTTTTTAGGCACACACACACACACATACACACACACACTCAATAAGTCGCTATTTCTATGCCTGGCACCGCATAGAACCCCAAGTACAATAAAAGTACAGGAAATATATATGTATATATATATATATGTATATATTTATATTTATATATATAAAGCGGAATACTTTCATTTTGTATGGATTTTGGGTAACAAGCTGCGCTTTTCTAACGGCTGCAGCGATGCGTCCTTTATAACGGTGCTAGCATCCTTGTGGCAAAGTCGGCTGGCTTCGAGGCGTTTCTCGTTTGTCGTTTTTCGCATTTTCGGGCAAAAGGCTTTTGTTTTAAGGCAAACGCTTTGAATCCTTTGAATTTGTGGCACGCGCTGCATTTAATGTTGTTCACGCCGAATTCCCAAGCGCTGCGCGTCGCCAAAAATGCAGCGCAGCAGCGTCGCTGCAGACAAAAGGACAAAAGGATCGGCGGACAGTGTCCTTTGTGCGCCGGCACGTAAATTGTGCAGATAAGCAACGCAATTTGCTTTTTGTCTCGACACGCCAACTCGGCAACGGCCATAATAATGTGCAAAAATTATATTACCCAGCTGTTGGCAATGATCAACTGTATGACACCCCTTATAATTTATAACATGCAATTTGCATTCACTTTTTCTCACTTTAGTTTGGGTAACTTATTAAATGAGGCCGGTATCGGATAATACACTTTTCCAGTTGAAGCTTACTGAATGGGGAGAAGGTTTTAAAGAAGAAAAATAAGGTTCTTAAGAAATAATAATTAATATGGATGGTATTTAAACCTTAAATAATTTATTAAACGTATAGTTTAAGCTGACTATTGGCATATTTCTTTTGACTATTGTTATTGGTAAACTGAAATACTGAGTAAAAACTTATTTTTATTTATTTTGCCTATTTACTATACCAAAATATTGCATACTTCTCTGAACACATTTATTAAAGTGCATTAAAAATCGAAAATTCAGAAACTTAATCTTTTACCCAATTTCTCTTAATTTTGCGTACTTTCCCTTAGTATTAAAGATGATCAAAAGTTAATTAAGAAAATCAAGTTATAACATAAATTTCTCATCATTTTGCATACTCTTTTAAAGAGTATCAGAAATTGTTAATTAAAGCTAGTTACACCTCACCACAATTTAATGGCCCTATTAAATTCCAACTCATTCGCAAAGCCATTTTAATATCTTACAGGTGTTTGTCGACGCATCTGTTGGCATTTTAAAATAGCCTAAAGAAAGTAGATATCCTTCCTCCCATTCCACCCAAATCTCTCTCACTTTCTCATTCTCACTTTCTTTCCCTCTGCGTGGTATGCGAGGCTCCTGTCTTAATTAATTAAGGCCGCAGGTGGGCAACATGAAACACCTGCCAACCGCTTGTCAATTCATCCCAGCGGTAATTAAAAATTCAATGAAAATTCGTCAACAGCCTCAACGTCAACTCTTTTTATTAGCCATTAGGACAGGCTTCGTCTTCGCCAGAGATTGACGCCCAGATTTAGCCGAAGATTTATAGTTGTAACCCATCAGCTGTCAAGCAAAATAAAGCGAACTTAACGAATTGAAAATAAATTCCAAGATCTTAAAAACTTGAGTGTTATTTTATTTTATTTTTATTTTATGTTTATTTTGATCTATTTGTGTTTCACATGTGCAATTAGCTAGTGCCCAAGGCGTGGTTGTTGTTGCTCTTCATTTTATATGTGGAAAAATCAACAATTCACTCACTAACAAAAACCACAAGAATGAAAAAAGGGCTACCAGCGAACAAATAACAAACACGCTCTCATTTTTGATGACAGTTTTTTTTTGTTTGTTTGGTTTATTCTTATTAGTTTTTCCTTTTTGGTGAATTTTTGTGAATACCCTGTAGACACTCAAAGTGGCCCTTAAAATATTCCTTGCGGCTGTAAGGGACACCACCAAATTAGATTCATTATTTAATTCAGTGCGTGGGCAGGCAACAGTCTATGTTTGTAGATAGATCTTTTTTTTACATTTAGATCCATGATAATATTCTGTGTATACTGATCTTAAGCGAAAATGAATTCACTGAACTGCAAATATTCCATAAACATATCAATTTCAGTAGATATTCATTATTGGATGTCTTTGTGTAGGGCACCTCGCAGACGAACATTCTCAACTCTCAACTGATTTATTTTAAGTAGATTTTTTTTGTTTGTTTTTTTTTTTTTTGTGTGTATTTTGTTTGGGTTTTTGCTGCTTGCCACAAAGTTTGTGCGGGCAACTGCGGTGTGCCCAGAGCGACTGCCAACTGCTGCACTCAACATGTTGACAAGTTTTTCGGCTTGTGCGGACAAACTTAGCAAATGGCCACTCACTCAGTCACCCAGTCATTCAGTCACCCAGTCATTCAGTCACCCAGTCATTCAGTCAGGCAGTCTGTAAGTCAGTCGCTGTTTACCGTTACGTTGCATACTTTTAAGCGGCTGCTTAGCTGCAATGCATTACGGCACTCGTTGCTTACTTGCCTCATCTCTCGCTGCTGTTGTTGCTCTTGTTGCTGTTGTTGATGTTGTTGATGTTTTTGTTGCTGTGCATTTTGCTTGGTGTGATAAAATGCTTGACACTTTTCTAAACGGCCAAAGTTTTTGGCTAGCAGAAGAGATTGTCGCTTGCTGCACATTGCCACCCGGCAACCCGCAGCCCGCAACCCGCATCCCACAACCCGCACAATCCCCTTTCATCTCATGCAGCTACTTTTTAATGCGTTATAATGCTTGTCTCTTGCTGATGTTGCCCCCACGCTCAGCTTCCTCTGTCCTTGCAGTTTGTTGACATTGTCTGGCTTACAGAGCGCATAAAGTGGAAATGATTTACGCAGTTGCCCACTTGTATATGTGTGTATGTGTGTGTGTGTGTATTCGTGTGTGTGTGTGTCCCAAAGTGCCAAGCATAATAAATAGCCCAGCTTTTGGCCTGGCATTTTTGTCAAATAGCTCGCATCGACTTGAAAACATGTGCAAAGTGTTTTGCTAAAAGTTACCTGAGCGATGGAAAGAGAGAGAGAGCGAGACAAAGAGAGACAGAGAGAGAAAGAGAGAGAGAGAGAGTGGAACTGTAGAGCTTAGAGCCAACTGTTAGAAAATACACCCAGAGCCATCGTATACCCCTTCCCCCTACAGCTCTTCCCCCCTCTATACACTAAACTAGTCTCCACCAGTTGACCAACAACTTTTCAATCTAGTTGCCTTTTGCTGTTGTGGCTCTTTTGGACCACTCGAGTTTGTCAGCCAAACAATTTGCATGACGTTTAGAAAGTAATTTAATACTCAATCTGAGAAACAGCAACTTCCACCAAACTCTGACCCATTTAATATTCTTAACTGATGCTCCTCAATCAGTTATATTAAATATGCATAAGATTAACACAGTTTAAACATTCTTCAACAGGAATTCGGCTTTTAATAAATCATTCCAAAAACAGTATTAAGCTTGAACTCTGCTACTTATTTGCTAAATTAATAATAAAACAATAAATACAACTATAAGACAGGCGATAAACCATTTTCCTGTAAACAACCCAGTAAATAAGAAACAAGCTTGAAAATTAAAAAGAAAATCAATTATAATAAATTATAAAAAATCCACAAAAAAAAATCCGATTAATTAAATTATAATTTTAATTTATAATAATTGCTTACCAATCTTAGAATATCCGCTGTTTGTGATATTGACCAACTTTCCAAACAAACTCAATATATTATCGTAAAAAAAAAACAGAGTGTCTATTTTCAAATTCGCAACATACTTTACGAATGTTGAATGTATAGAATGTTGTGCATTAAGGGATAGGTACATACTGTTCATATTCGAGAATGAAAGATACTTTGGTAGTGGATTCAGGCAATAAGTTTGATAATGTATGTTAATGGCATGTTATGGCTCACTTCTTGTGATATATTCCAACTTTGCACGAACACGTTTCCATAATAATCCCAAACTTGAGACAACAGTTTAACTGAGTGCTTGCCAGTAATTATTCATCTATCGACCTAATTTTACAACTGTGCCAATTGAACATTAAACTAAAATGAAAAGAATCCTCAAATATATGCAGCACTCGGAAATGCATTTAATTTAACCGGAATTATGGTGATAGCGTCACTAGTATAATCAAGTTTCGCGGCACGGTGTTATGCCTTTATAAATTCCAGAAGCGTTTGGAGAGCTTTGTGCGAGCGAGTGGTGCGATAAAAGAGCTCTGAGTGCAACCAAGCGAAATGAAATCATAAATGGCTGGACACGTGCCGTGCCAGCGCCATGGGAGTCACAGAGACTCGTGCCACATGCTCCACTTGCAAGTTGCAAGCATTGCATTTTGTCTTGGCTGGCAACGAGGTGTTAAAGTTTCGGCTAACTCCGAATACGAGTTAGTTAAATATTTAAATTTATTTATTGGCGAAGTGCCTCACAGGCAGAGGCGCCTAGGGCCACAACGCCCATTAAAAATAATCAGGAAACAGCAACAACAACTAGAAAATAGTTGAAGGAAATGCAGAGAATAAACTTACCGTGTGCATCTTTGCCAAGTCCAGAGCCAAGTCCAGACCCGCCCATGCCCATGCCCATGACACCGCCGTGTCCAGCAGCAGCAGCACCACCACCACCGTTGCCGCCGCCGCCACCTGCAGATCCTCCACCGAGCATGGAGTGCTGGTGCGCTAATGTGACCGGCATTACGAACGCCACGGCCAGCAGGGCCATAAAAATTTTCCACATTGTTAACGTGGCCATTTGACTTTTATTGCACTTCATTTTCATGCGCTGCCTTTTCTCGAGATTATAGTATATACTTTTTTCTATGTCTTCTTCTTTTTTCATTCTTTTTTTTTTTGTTTTTCTTGTAATTTCTTTTGGCCAAAAGCAGCAGTTGGCCCGTTCTTCTATATTTTTTGTTCGCCGCTTGTTGATTTTAATTTGATGTGACTTAAGTTGGATTTGGTTTGCAGATTTCGCCAGTTGCAGACGCTGTAGTTTTCCCCGTGCTTCTGTGTTTGCCAGTTTATGCTTCACTTCTCACTCTCTTCTCCTCCCTTTCAGCTCTCCCCCAGTGCTCCACCTGCTGCAGCTCCAGCTTCTTCCGCCTAGTGAAAGCACATTTTGATGGTGCCGCGCAGTCAGCAGCTGAAAGTAAGCAGAACACAGAGAAAAAAAATTGCCATCAGTTGTGAGTGCGTTGAAAACTTTTTCGAGGGGGTAGCTAGTTAAAAAGTTGTTCAAGTTTTTGTTAAAGTCAAATTGAAGCCACAATTATCGAGTTGTAAGGCGAGATACGCCCACTCAGACTCACCTACACACACACACACACACACAGTTGTGCTGTTTCCCAGCTAAGCCCCATTGGACTAAAACAAATTTTTAAGTAAGTGTTCAGTTTGTCAAGCTGTTGAAAATGTTCTTACATTCCTATTCCAAGAGGCTATCAGCTTTTTGTTCATGTCTTGGAAAGTGTATGTCAAAGGTCTAATTATTTATTTATAGCTTGATAAAAGTGATGTGTCTCAGCTGGCATATACGGCCAGATAGTAGATAAAAATCCAATTGCGGCTTATGCTAGAAAAGTATTCTGAATTTTGCATCTAACTCAGAAATTCATCACAGCAGAGGCAAATTGGAAGCTGAATGTGACAAAAAAAAGAATTGACATTTAATGTTTAATCAAATTAAATATTTAACTTTAAATTAAAATAAATAAGAACCAATATTTTAAATCTGAAGGCATTTTATTGGAAAATTGTTCTTTAATAAATATAATTTTTTATGCATGAGCATTTGGCATAACAAATTTATGGTTCATTAAGACTTGTTCTAGGCTCTCGACTAACCTAAAAATAAACCATTTTGGTAGCAAAATATTGGAATGTATCGCAAATCAATTGTCAAAATCAATCAATTTATATACAACATGAAATTCCAATATCAATAGTGAAGGAGCAGTTAAAAAACATTGTCACATCGTTTGCTACGTCAACATCAAATATTCATAATTTCCCATGCCAGACATTTCTATCACAATTGAGCCGAACCTTATAGACATTTGTTATATCCAAGTTGCGCCGAATTCAGTTTACCATTGAGTGATGTGCACAGTGAATTTCACTCGTCGTTTCCATATCCAACGCACACAATAAGCTCAGCGATATTTCCACAGGGGTTTGCGAGTATTCAATGTAACTTAAAACTCGCAGTCAGCAGTCAGCAGCAGCAGCAGCGGCAGCAGCAGCAGCAGCAGCAGCAGCAGCAGCAGCAGCAGCAGCAGCAGCAGCAGTAGAAGCAGCAGCTCTTTGTATGGAATTCAATGCCATTCACAATTCTACAGTCGCAGCTACACAGATAAAGCTACGACGCAGCAGCAGCAACAGCAGCAGCGGCAGTGGCAACAAACAAAAATTTACAATTTCCGGCGAGTCCCTTAACTCCCTTCAGCCCCCACCAACACCAGTAGATTGCCATCGTTCGATAAAAAATGTTGCCGTTAGCTAAGGAAATTCTAAGGGGATGCTGTGAATGTGTCCACAAAAAATATCCAGAATAAAAAAAAAGAATATGAAAATAACTAACATAAAAATTAAGGTACAAAATTTGGCACACGACACAACAAAAAGACAAGTGCAAATGGTGCTCGACTGCGAGATACCCATGTATCTACATATTTCTGAGATATTCAAGCAAACACCCTACAAAATCTGCGTATTTCTTACTGCTACCTCAACAGATCTGACAGTTGATCAATATTAAGTCAAGATATCTACAGACCCGATGAGATAGTTCAATCTTTAACATTTATGATTTTATTGCTATCCGATATTTATCTTATATTTTCGAAGATGTTTCCCTCTGCTTGAAACACACTTTTGCACAACTTCATTATACTCTATTTACACATTTTCAATCAGCATAAGAAGAGACAAAAATTCGTGAAGTAAAGGCAAAACGCACTTCATATCTTTTTTGAGATAGGACAAAAAAAAAAGAGGAATCTATAAAAATGCTCAGATGCAAATAATAATGATGATTTGGAAATACAAAATGAAGCTGACAACAAATATGACAACAACAAAAATAGAAAGAGGAAATGTAAAAGGTAAAGTTAAAGGTAAATGTAAAGAAAGGTAAAAGAAATGTTGACAAGAGAAAGGTAGCGCTAATAAATATACACAAAAGCTGATACCAAAAGCAGCTTGCAACAGATACATCTGACGCCAAAGGGGCCAAAAGGTTCACAGTCTAGGCAAAAAGATAAAATTCTGAATGAGTTGTGTGGCTGGATGGCTGGATGGCTGGCAGAAGGCAAAGAAATAAGAAAAGTCGCCGGCAAATCAATAGAAACGCAACATGGGCAATTTTAAGTTTTACCTGACCTTTTTTTCTATCTTTCGCTTACTCTAACAGCTTCAGGCCATACGAGCTTGCCAAGAGGTGCAGAATGTTAAAGAAAAACTATAAGTTAAAGTATTTAAATGAATTACAACTTAAAATATTTGAAGTATCAGATGAGGCATACATTTTGTTAAATTCAACACAAATTAGAACCAATTTTAGACCAGATAATTGATTATTTTTTAGGAGATTTGTGAATTTAAATTATATTCAAGGATAGCAAATGGCAAATGCCTTTAAAAAATTAAACAAATGAAGTAGATTAAAACCCCCATTTATCTGTTGACCCAAAGAGCATCTCGAATTCGAAACGCTCAAAACGGGTTTTTTAGTTGCTGCCACTTCTGTTTCTATTGTCGTTTTGTCAACGTGCCCGCCGAGTGTCGTCACTGAAATAGAATGGGGTGGGGATGTAAGGATGTTGATATTGGGGTTGAGTTGGGGTTGGGTTTGTGATATGGCGAATAGAAGCGTCGGGAATGATGGGTGTAGGGGGAGGCGTTAATAATGATAACAATGTAAGACATCGCAATAAGCGACCAAATGGCCGGCAGATAAGCGAAGGCAATGGCGAACAATGGGAAGGTGACAATGTGAGAACAATAATAATGCCCCAGATAATAATGATAATAATAATAATGATGATGATGATAAAACTAATGGTGCGACGGCAATTATGAGAAATTTGTTTAGGTTTTTAAATATCGCACAATATGAGGATAAAAAAAAAAAAAACTGAATGGACAACTTCAGCAACACTTGAGCAATTTGCGCACAGTCGAGTGCGCACATTAACCCAGAGAACAAACACACAAAAAGCACAAAACAAACACAGCAACAACAGCAGCAGCAGCAGCAGCAGCAAAAAAAAAAGCCAGGCAAAATCAACATGGCGTACAGGCGCCGGAAACGGAAACGTCGGCCGAGCGAGCGACCAGCAGACCCAACGACCAATAGACAAACATTCAAACAGCAACAGGAAAGGGGACCACGTCCAGAGCAATGCAAAATTACTGCACCAATGGCTATGAACGATCTGTAGATGCCCTTTAAACCAACGCACAAAAACATAGAGATCTTGCATAAAATATTACAAGAGATATTAAATAGATAGTAAGATCAGAGAAATACTTTCTAGAAAAAAAGAGCATTTTTTTATTTATTTATTTAATTTCCAATAAAATCAATCGACACAGAAAACTAGAAAAATTAAACTTCTACAAATTAAACATAAAATTTAGTATTTGAATTAAGAAATAATATAATTATTTAGGGTTTTTGCGTGGGGATAACTAACTGAAATATTTAGATATTCAAATGTATATTTGTATCAAAAATTAATGCAAGAAATGTAAACTATTTCTTATTTGCTATGCAAAACTTAAGCAGCACATGCATTAATCCTGTTCTACCCTTTGCGTTGACCCACAAGGCATAAAGTGAAATGAAAATAGGCAACATTTGACAGACACATTTTATTGCATGAAGGCAAACCCAGGACGTCAGTCAGTCAGCTTCTGGGAAGGACTCTAATCTAAGAATCGCAACTGACATGCACTCATATGCTATGCACATACATGACTGTGTATGTGTGTGTGTTTGTGTGTGTGTGGTTGTTTTGTATTACCACTCTACTCTGGACAATGGCCCGTCAATATCTGCCACGGCATTTCCTGCTGCTCGCCAAAAACTTAACTCAACCGAAGCTGAAGCTAAAGCAGAAGCAGCAGCAGAAGCAGAAACAGAGGCTAAAGCTGAAGCACAACTCAGTTGTAGTTTATTATTCCCGCTAGTCTCATTCTTTTCTATTTGGTCTAAATAAATTTTTATCATGTGCTAAAGCGGCGGTGTGTGTGTGTGTGTGTGTCTGCCCTGTTTTGTAGTCCATCATGGCATCCATGCAGTTTGGTAACATCATTCTAGGGGCGTTATTCATTTATTCATTCACTCGCTGCTGGCTCGTTTCTGGCTGTTTCTTATGGTTTTTGTGGTTATTGAAGCGATCATTTGGAACATGCACAGCATTTTCATGTTTGTTATTTTCGCTTCTCTCTCCCTCTTCAGCTCCTTCCACTTTGCTGCTTTTATTATTGCTACCATACACACACACACTCTGCCCTTCTACAACTTCTCTCGGTGGCTGCCCATTATTAATGGCCAAAACGTTTAATATGCGAATTTAAGAAAATTACTTTCATAACACG